TTTGTTCATTTGTAAAATGGATACCCAGATTAACCAACTACCAATTCAAGCAGTAGAAGTGTTTTCATGAGGATTGAGTGACCTCATTGTATCTCTTAGGTATTAGCCGCCAAGGCTGAAGAAGATGGTGTATAGGAGGGGGGGGGGGGCTCACCTTGGCGCCTCATCTCTTTCCGCACAGCCTCCAGCCCACCCTGGTCCTCAATGAAGTCATAGATAAGTTTAGAGGTCTCTGCATCAGTGAGTTGGGCCTCACTGATTCCTGCCCTGGAGAACAGGCTCCGGAGATCCGGGTCTAGATTGTTCACCTACCCAGTAGGAAAGAGGCCAGGGCAGGGATGGGGAGTTAAGGTGAGGAGGGAAGGGGTACAGCTTATCATTGGATCCACTCCAGAGAGGGATCTGAAAGAGGTGTGGGAAAAGGTAGGGATGAGGGAGTGGGGTCTGAGCAGTGGTCTGTGGTAGGGTAGTGGGAATTGAATGAAGTTCAAGAGACTTTGAGGTTACTTACATCAAATCCATTTTGGGGGTCCCACCCCACGTGGCTGACATGTCTGGGGGAAGTGAAGAGACCCCAGTGAAGCCCTACTGCTCTTCTTTCCCTCCCTCCCTAGAGAAACCTTCTTATCCTCTCCTGCCTGGAGAGAATCTAAAGGGCCAGAATTATTGAGTAATTCATGAATTAATGAATGAATGAGTGAGTGAGAGCAGGAGTTATGAAACTAGAAGGGGCCCATTATCTGTGCTGCCCATCTGTCCACCTGTCCCTCTTTCCACCCATCCATTTGTCCACCTATCCATTCACCTGCGTGACCACTGATCTGTCCATACATCTATCTCTCCACCCATCTTCCCACACACATCTGTTTACCAATTTGTCCACCAATGTGTTCTCCAACTTGTCCACTCATCCATCTGTCCATCAACCCATCCATCTTACCCATGTGCCCACCTTTCCATCCACCTACTCATTTGGCTACCCATTCAATCACACATCTCTCTGTCCACTTATCCACTGAGCACATTCATCCACATATCTGTCAACCCATCCATTCATCCACCCATCAGCCTGCCCACCAAAGGCAGGACTAAGGCAAGGCAAGTGATGTGCCTATAGTGTAAAAATTTAAGGAGGCACTCACTCTCAGAGTCATGAACTGTATTTGCATGCCTCTAAGAATAACTGCTTCCTTAAATTTTGCATCCTAAGCACCTCACTTGCCTGTGCCTTGTCCCAGCCCTGCACCCACCCACCCATCTATTCATCTACTCACCCATATATCCACCTACCCACTTGCCCACCCATCCATCTGCCCATCCTTCCATCAACTCATCCATCCATTCAGCTGTCCTCCTGTCCACTGTCATCTGCCCACTCAGGGATCTATAGCCCTGTTGTGGAGAAGTTCTCACTTGAATCCACTTGGTGCACCGATATCAGCCTTGCTGATCTTCTTTTTCCCTGAGCGTTTCTTGTCAACTGTGCCAGGTCCTGGTGCAGGGAGCCCACGGTATCGTGAACTTGTGATATCCGGGTTCTGGATGTCTACTGTCACTAGCCCCAGTGACAGCGGGCCAGCTGGTGGGCCTAAAGCAAAATATGGCAACATTCACCCATTTACATAACAATCAAAGCACAGGGACAAGAGGCAAGAAGACAGAAGTCTGTAGGGGAAATCTGTGTGTGTTTGATGGTCATGGAGGTAGTGGGTGAAGGATCCGAATAGGGTTTGTGGAAAAGTGGGTTGGTCCCACAAACCATTCATACATTCACTGATAAATTCATTCACTCATGCGCATCACTTAATTATTGACTCATTCATTCACTGGCTCAATGACTAATTAAATTGTTAAAGTATTCATGTACTTACTCAATCATTCATTCAATCATTGCTTCCTTCACTGAAATATTGTAACTTATTCACTTATTACTGTTCATTCACTCACTCACTCATTCATTAATTCACTCAATTGTCCATCTATACTTTAATATAGGTGGCATAGTGCCTAAAGCACTTGACTGCTAACCAGAAGGCGGGCAGTTCAAACCCACCAGCCACTCCTTGGAAGGAAGATTGAGCAATCTACTTCTGTAAAGAGCACCTCGGAAACCCAAGGAGGGTTCACTGTGAGTCAAATCAACTCCACGACAGTGAGGTTTTTTTTTAAATACATCTAAATATCTATTTTTATCTTACCATCAATTCATCTCCCTACTCAACTATCTATCCACCATTAGCCCATCCATCCTTTCATTCATCCATCCATCCATCCATTTACCACTTACGTCTGCTCCCTCCCAACTACTCATTCACCCACCACTCTTCCACCTACTCAGAGACACAAAGAAGAATCAGTACTCACCCCCTAGGTCTCCACCTGGGTGTGGGGGTAGGGGTGGGAGCCCCCCTCTTCTCTCTGGGAAGATGGAATAGGTAGAGAGTTATCACAACCCTGCTACAGATTCCTGGCCTAACCCCTTATTACTCCTACTTGTGCTAAAGGACTCACCCTCACTGGCTGGTGCTGGTGGTGCTGGTAGCTGACGTCTATCTGTGGAGAGACAGGTAGACTAGGAAACAGAACCAAAGGAGGGGATTTTCCAATTCTCATTCTTACACTTACCTCCCCCAGGGCCTCCTCACCTCCACTTTGTCTTTGATTTCTTTTTTGTATCTTCTCCTGCACCAGGGCCCGAAAGTCCTGGGCCTCCCCCTCGTCTGCAAAGTTCAGCCCTGCTTGGCAGTCCTGCACATGCCTCTAAGTCAACAGACTTCCAGACCTCCACACCTTTCCCCATCTCTTCCCCGCACCCTAACTAAGGCCCAGGGATTGGTTGGTCACTTACATCTCCAGCAAAGGTGTGGAAGAAGGGGGTGGGAGTGGAGTAGACCAGCTGTGAGTACAGCTCCTGTTCCCAGAGCATCCGGCCAGCCTGGAGGGGCAGGTTGGGGAGCACACTGGCATTGAAGCTTGCCCTGGGTACATGACTTTGTTATCTGGGCAGGGAGCATGGTGTCTAGGTTTGAGGTCCCAGGATCTGATTTGGGGATTTTCAGCTCAGTATCAGAGAGTTGTGGGCCCAGGTGTCATATATGGAGGGTTGGAGTACAGTATGGAGCCAGACACTGCTATGAATGGTTTAGGCTTAGGGTTCAAGGCTTTAGGTGTGGGAATTGGGGGCCTGAATTTGAGGATTTAGGGCTCCAGTCCCAGGAAACTAAGATTCATTTATAGATTCAATCCTACACACATCCCCACCTTAATGGAGGTCTTCATTTGGATAGGTAGTGTTCCAGTATTTGGGAGTTGGGAGTCAAGATTTGAGGTTCAGGAATATTGACTTAAAGAGTTTTGGGGTGAGTTCAGCCAAGGTATGTGCAATGTGGGGTTTGTGGAGTAGGGTTATGGCTTAATGTTTGGTCAGTATTTGAGGGCCTTGGGGTCTTGATGTAGTTATTCTGGGCTCATCTTTATGGATTTAGAAGGATAAATTTGGTGTTTAAGCCTGGAAAATTCAGGTTGGGGGTTTGTGAAACAGATTTTTGGCTTAGGAGCTACCTCAGTATTTGTGTGTTTAGGAGTTTTGATACGAGAATTCTGGGGTCTATGTCTGGATTTAAAAGACAGACTTGGTATAATTCATCATATTAACAAACTAGAAAAGAAAAACCATATGATTATCTCAATGGACACAGAAAAAGCCTTTGACTAAAAAACGAAATCCATTACTGATTAAAGAAAAAAAAAAAATACCACCTAGGAATAGAAGGAAACTTCCACAACCTGACAAAAGTTATCTATGAAAACCTACAGCTAACATGATACTTAATGGTGAAAGACTGAAAGCCTTCCCACCTAAGATCAGGAATAAGGATATTCTCTCTTATCACTTCTACTTAACATTATACTGGGGGTTCTTGCCAGTGCTGTTAGGTAAGAAAAAGAAAAAAAAGGACAGATTTTTGGGTTAAAGGCAAAATGGGGTATTCAGGTTTGGGGTTTGGGGAACAGATTTATGACCTAGGAGCTAGGCAAACATGTGAGGTTCAAGAGATAGTGGATTCTGGGAGTCATAATTATGACTTTAGAACAGATTTGAAGTTCAGGTGTCAGTATAGTGCTCATTTTTTGGAGTTTGTGAAACAGATTAAGCTAAGGAGGTGTACTAAACACAGTTAAAACTACAAAAGCTGGAACCTGTGTAGGGCAGAAACCTGTCAGAGAAGGAAAACTCAAATATTTTCCATTAATAGAGAAAATGTTAAGGCTACACCTTGTTAAAGGCAGAAAACTTGCGAGACCTGGAAAAACAAGCCAGTCCTGTCATATTCTGGTTCTCACAGGTTTTGCTGTATTTGGGGGTTTAGAGATCTTCATACAGGAGCTATGGGTTGCTTACTGTAGATTTAGAACCAGAGTTTGGTATCTGGATGACATGTTTGGTTCTGGGGCTCAGGCATTCAGAATCTGGTTGGAGAACTTGGGCTATGGATACAGATCTGGGTTTGCAGGTTGAGAACTGGTTTGCATCCTCAGTGAGGGCTGGGAGTCACCTGGAGGCTGTAAAGTCGGATGAAGTAGGACTTCTGGGGGTTATCCTTCACAAAGCACACAGCCCCACAATGCTCCTTGGTCCAGTGCTCAGCTCCAGGGGGCAGTGCCAGATACAGCTGAACAACTGTGGTGGCCAGAGTCTGGGAAGTGGAAAGCAGACATCAGTGGAGCCTGATCAGGGTAGGCAAAAGGTCTTGGAGCCACACCTGGTCTTTCCTTGCCTGTGGCTGCCCTGGGCCCAAAGGAAGAGCTGCAGACAAAGGGAAGATGAGTAGAGCTCAAGATCTTTCTGGGAATTGAATGGTAGCAAGTGGAATCTAGGAGAGGATATGATGGAGAAGAAAAGGAGGAGCAGGAGGAGGAGAAGGAAGAGGAGGAGAAGAGAAGGATGAGGAGCAGAGGAAGGGGAGGAAAGGGAGATAAAGAGGACCAGAAGATCCCCAGCTCACCCAGCATCTCCGTCCGAGCATCTCAAAGAGTCGCTGGTTCTCATGGTCCCGGAGAAGGATGGAGGGTATATTCTGCTGAGCCCCTGGACCTCCACGACCTCCAGGCCTGCCTCCCACAGGGCCCCCACTCATGGTGCCTCTTGTCCTTGTTCTCTCCGGCTAGGTTCTGAGTGCAGGGTAAGAAGAGGAACTTCCGCAGTGAGCAAAGGAAGAGGAAGTACAAAAAACCGCAAGGGAAACAAGTCCTCCAGGGGCCCCTCAGTGGGTCTGGCCTCCTCCTCCTTTGGACAGGCTTGGATCCTCCTCCCTCAAACCAGACTGGCTGAAGTCCTCCACCACTTGACTGGTTAAACCCATCTCAATTTGACCAGTTCAGGTCCTCCTCCTTCTTTCCGTCTGTGGCCTATCTCCCTTGACTAGCTCAGGCCCTCCTCTCTTTGATCAGCTGGGGTCCCTAAGTCACCATCATTGGTGTGTTCCTGTGGTGAGAGTTAAGCCACAGACAGCACCTCTGCAGGGCTCATTGAGGTGAGAAGCAGTCATGGGGCTGGGTGAACACCTTCCTCCCCAAAAGTATCCAGTTAGCTTGGAGCCAAGGTCAAAGGCCTCCATTCCAGAAAGGTTACTGTACTAAAACTTGTCCTTTTCATCACATAAGGAGCACCTGTGATCTCACTGCCTAGCCTGAGAACCCAGACATTACCAATAACTCACAACCCTCTGGCTCACTTTCCCATCCCTTACCCTCACCTCCTTGCTGCTCTCAAATTACTTTCTGCTTATCATCCTCTCTTTTATAGGAAAGGAATTTTATAACACATATAAATGCCTAAATAACATTCTGTTTAGTTTTTATTGTTCTTGATCTCTAAAAAAAAAAAAAATGTATAATCTTCAGAGACCTACTTTTTTCCACTCAACTTTTTTTTTTTATCTAACAAGCACTTTTGAAGCATTTAATGTGTGGTAAGCACTGTTCTGGGAGCTCTGGTAGCATAGTGGCTAAGGCACTTGACTGCTAACCAGAAGGCTGGCGGTTCAAACCCACCAGCCACTCCTCGGAAGGAAG